TATATATATATATATATATATATATATATATATATATATATATAAAATGACAAGTAACAGTGGAATGAAAATTTATAAACACTTGTCAAACATAATTTATAAAACTACAATTTATCAATGCAATACCTCGAACGGACAGTAACTTATTTCAAGCAGAAAACATAAAGTCCGTAACGAATTTCTCACGAGCTTATTTTGAAACGGCCAACAACCTGTGATCGACAGAAATACTCGATTGATGTTATATTCTCTCAAAAAATTTGATAGCATTTTTATTCGTCTTAATTCTTCGTAGAGAAACCGCAATATAATGATGCCATTCATACTATCGATTCTTTAATGGTTACAAATTGCGGTATAAAATATATAGGATAGAATAATCATAGGATGTCAAGAACCATCTATGTCATTCTATTATTTCGTCGTAGTACGAGTGTATCTAACTATCAAGAGTAAATTATTAATTTTTTCAAGTTCAAAGTATTTTATCTGACATTTTTGCGAGTGACATATTGTATGTAACGATGTTGCATGATCAAATAAAGTATGATAAAATAAAAGTCCGTACTAATCTCAAGAAGAAACAATTTGCAAGAAACAAAAAAGATAAATTGTAAAAATTTTTAGAATTAATAAAAAAATATATGTATATATATATGACTTAATAATAGTTAAATTAAAATTATAATGATATGTTTCAAGATATTTTCAGAATATTTATATTTTTAGCAGATAAAATTCATATTTTATTTAATTACTTGGTACAATATAAATTATATCAATATTATACATAAATAATACAAATATTTATTGAAGTATAGGATTGCTAACTTTCTATAAAACACATAATGTATGGAATGTAAATAAATTTTTAAATTTAAAATTATAAGAAAGAATTTAATAACTAAATATATAATTTTAATGTGAGATAAATAGCATAGAGAATCTTTTAATTATAATTGATTAACATTGATATTAAGTACTAATAAATAAATATGTATATATATATATATATAAAATCTATACTAATAAATAACTAAGAAAATTTAAATAATCACTCTTGGAGAGATAAAAACGCTGTAAAATAGGACATGGCCATTTTTACTACCTTGAAGCGATCAAATATGTAAATCATTTTATAGATAAATATAATATTATTATTATGAAAAATAATTGGCTTTATGCAATTTTGTATTTTACTTACCGACGCGTAAGTAGCGATGGATAATGGAACCATATTACCTGCCTTTAATCCGCACGGTACATTAGTTCTATAAAGAGTAATTATCATTAAAGATTTTATTCTAGGTGAGAAATTGTACCATTCTGCCGCGTATCTGTAAG